TTGTTAAATAATTCTGGAAGTAAATTAAATGTGCTTCCTTTCTGCAGGACTTTGCAGAACACTTAATATGCCAAAAAGCACCATGAATCTCTAAGAAAGGCATATATTTTGCAGCATTTTACAACCTTATTTGACCACAGAACCCTTTATGAGGAGCTTCTAGGGTCAGGAAGGTAGAGACAGTTCTTAGAATATACTTTGGGAAATATTGCTTGAAAAGTCTCCCTTCAGTGACTTCCAAGAGAGTAAAGGATAGAAATCATCTGGGTAGAATATCCACTCCTTTGGAAGGTCCCTATCTCTTCAGATAGACAAAAGGAAAGTGTCTGGGGTATTGAAAGCAGAAGGCCTCTCAGAACATCTCAGAAAATCTACCTTGACCATGTAAGAATCTCTTTATGTCAGTTCATTGAATCAACAAACATTTTACTAGTAGATCATCCACAATGTATCAGGAGCTGAGCATTAAAAAAAGTTAAGATTGCTTTAACTTTGCATAGTGGAGACAGTTTTCAGAGATAACATAACATGAACCAGGTGTTAAAATATAACTCCCAGGGGTTGGAGTAGACAGTGAGAGACATTTTAAAGAGAAGGAAAGTATCAACAGTGGCACTGATGCCTGACAAGGCATTGTTCTGCTCCCTTGAGCACTGCTCTTTAGCATTTTTGTACACCCACCATATCATACACTGGCATTTTGTAACTTGTTTCCCAAAGAAATAGGAGCCAATGTTTGAAGTAGTTGGAGAGGGATTGTCACTCTGTGTAGACTGCTATAGGATAAAAATCCACCCATCACTAGACTGGAGCTTGCTTACCTAGGAGGTGAAAGTGTCCCTTTATTTATTATTAGGAGTAGTCACAGAATGCCAAGGTATGGTATATCTCCACAAAAACGTTGGAAATTCAATCTAAGAATGATGGAGATAAAGTAAAGGGGAGAGAACTTTATCTATTATATATATTAGGGGCCCAGTGCATGAAATTCGTGCACTGGGGGGAGGTTCCTCAGCCCAGCTTGCCCCCTCTCACAGACTGGGAGCCCTCAGGGGATGTCCCCATGGGGAGCAGGCCTAAGCCACAGTCTGGCCTCCCTCTGCAGGAGGCGACCGGGCTGATCAGGGAAAGGCGCCAGACCCATCACCACGCTGCTGCAGCCACTGCCAGCCACCTCAGCCGCCAAGGTGTTTTCATCAACACAGACTCCAGTCCCTTCACCATGAAAAAATAACAACTTTCTTTAGGCATTTTCAAGATGTCTTCCATAGGATATGACATTTCTTTCTTTCTTTCTTTCTTTTTATCCAAAAAAAAACAATTTTTGAATAAAAAATTCAAAACAGATTTAGGAAATGTCATTGGTTATGCTATTAAAGTACCACCTATATTAATGAGGATATGTTTCCATTGATTTTTAGAGAGTGTGGAAGAGAGAGGGAGAGACAGAGAGAAATCAATGTGAGAGAGGGACACTTTGATTGGTTGCCTCCTACATGAGCCTTGACCTGAGCCCCAGCCAGGGAGGAGCCTGCAACCTAGGTACATGCCCTTGATCATAATCGAACCCGGACCCTGCGGTCGGCAGGCCAAGGCTCTATCCACTAAGCCAAACCGGCTAGGGCAGGATATGACATTTCTTAGCCCCTCCAGCAGCGGACCTTCGTTTTTTCCTCCAGGAGTGTGGTGGAAAAACCCTAGATCACCTTCTTGGATTCTTATAACCCAAGTTATCAAGAACACTGCAAGTGGTGGCATACAGGGAGCTTAGCCAATGAGCAGTCAGAAAAGGTGTTTATGCTCGAACTGGTTTGGATCAGTGGATAGAGCATCAGCCTGCAGACTGAAGGGTCCCAGGTTTGATTCCTGTTAAGGGCATGTACCTTGGTTGGGGAGTGTGCAGGAGGCAGCTGATCAATGTTTCTCTCTCATTGATGTTTCCAACTGTCTATCCCTCTCCTCTCTTCTCTTAAAAAAAAAAATCAATAAAATATATTTTAAAAAACATGAGGGGACATTGGGGGGATAAGGACACATTTCTAATATTTTATTTAATAAAGGGAAAAAAATTATGGAAAAAAAACAGAAAAGAAAAGGTGTTTCCTCTGCAGCTCATGAGCAGAGGACCAGACTCCGCGCCACCCACCCAAACAGGTCCATAGCACAGGCTGGTCAGCAGAGCGGCTTCTTCACCTGGGATCGCAGGGAGGCCTGGCCTGGCCTGTTCGCCCCGTGATGGGTGCCGGGCTGGGGGGCGTGGACCCAGGCCGCCACTTGGCGCCGGTGCATGCGCAAGCGGCCACGGGGCAGGAACATCTGCTTGGTGCCTGCTCCCGTAGGCCCGGAGTGGCCGGGGGCATTCTGGGACCCCAGCCGCTCAGGGCCTACACACGGGCCTACAGGCTAGGAGCTGCCTGGGTCCTGAGAATGATCCTGGGACCCAGGCCACTCGGTGCCTGTGTATGCAAATTAACCCGCCATCTTTGTCAGGTTAATTCGCATACTCACTCCTGATTGGCTGGTGAGCATTGCTGAGGGATGGTCAATTTAAATGTTTCTCTTTTATTATATAGGATATATATATATGAAAATGTCTGGCAATTTACACATTTATCTCATTTAATGATGAATTTATGCATACATATTTATATCATATGTCTTAATTTAAGAAGTACTTTCATATCCGTGATTTCCTTTAATCCTCATGAGAATCCTGTGAGCATGGGTAGGGCAGTTATGATCAGCCCCTTTGTTCAAACACTAATGGTATTTTATAAGTTAGAAAGTAATCCACACTTGTCTTCTCTTATGGGGGACACGCATTCTCTTTAGAGCCAACAGATCCAGCCACTGTTCCAATTCCCTTAGAACATTTTTTGTCATATATTTACAGCTCTCTGTGCTCAAGAGAATGGTGCATCTGTCTGAAGGAGACGCCTGACTGCATTCTTTCCCAGATATTAATATAGGTGGTACTTTAGTAGCATAACCAATGACATGAAGAACCTGATTTGGAAGAGAGCAGATGGCAGCATCTTTCTTGGGCTAATTTTAGGATCCTGAAACAGTTTCTTTCTCACACAAACCAGCAGTGGAACCTAAATAAAATAGCTATGTCACATGGACAAGGAAGAGAGAAAAAATGTGTAGTGTGAGGCAAGGACAATGAAACAGAGACTTCCATGCCTCCCCCAGATCTGACTCTTTTCATAGAATACAAGGGTCACTTCAACTTCTTTTCAACAAACTGATGCTGAATACCAATGTGAGGATATCTCAGAAGAAATGAGTGAGGAAAGCTCATTTCCAGTCACATGCATTGAACAACTAAGGTTGCATCATGTAATAAATAAATTCATATACATAAGAATGTAGGACCTAGGTCAGTGATGGCGAACCTTTTGAGCTCGGCGTGTCAGCATTTTGAAAAACCCTAACTTAACTCTGGTGCCGTGTCACATATAAAAATTTTTTGACATTTGCAACCATAGTAAAACAAAGACTTATATTTTTGATATTTATTTTATATATTTAAATGCCATTTAACAAAGAAAAATCAACCAAAAAAAATGAGTTCGCGTGTCACCTCTGACAAGCGTGTCATAGGTTCGCCATCACTGCCTTAGACAGTGGTTCTCAACCTTCTGGCCCTTTAAATACAGTTCCTCATGTTGTGACCCAACCATAAAATTATTTTCGTTGCTACTTCATAATCTCTCTCACCATTGATGTTTCTCTCTCTCTCTCCTTCTCCCTTCCTCTCTGAAATCAATAAAAATATATTTTTAAAAAATGAGTTCGCGTGTCACCTCTGACATGCGTGTCATAGGTTCGCCATCACTGACCTAGGTTATAATGAATCTTCTCTTAGAAGATAAGAAAGCTGAGGCTAAGTAACCATTTTACTTAGTAAGAAATAATCAGATTGAATTTCAAAGCCTCAGATTTCTGGTCCATTGATTTGTCTGCTGAAAAGACTTTCTTCCAAAATGAGACATAAAATATCAATAGTAATTATTGATATTTCCTTTAATCCTCAAACACATTAGTGTTTGAACAAAGGGGCTGATCATAACTGCCCTACCCATGCTCAAGAGGTGGAGGAAGAGTCCCCCAACCAGAAATTATGCCTGAGGTATAAGATGATCATCCAAGGATTTAGAACAAATGAGAAGAAAAGTAGTCTGAAAAAAAAAAAACCCTACCTGTTTTCCATCCAGAGTGTAGAGTTTTTTGACAACCCCAGTCTCTAGTTTGATGGCTTCAGTGATATCAGTGAGGACTTGCTCAAAAGAGTGGGCTGTTTTCTTGTTCAGAAGCACACGCACAGCCTTCCGAGGTTTCACCCCACTTCGGATGATGGTCACCAACTTGGGGCGCACAAAGTCTTTGTTCTCCCTGGCCTGGGCACTGTTGCTGCTAGCCAGGGATTGGGGGGCTTTCATGTTGGCAGATGTCTTCACATTGACAGACCAGTTGGGATTGACATTCTTGGTGTACTCCACCTTTTTAAAGAAGTTGTCTGAGGAACAAACATAGCTTTCCCCTAACGGAAGAAATAAGTGGTGATTAGTTTAATAGTAGGTATATGGACTATTCTAACCAAACTAATACACACTAATCTTGGAGTAAGACTTTTGGAAAAGTGGTAATAATAACCAACCTTAGGTACAATTCCTAATAGGGCTTTCTAACAACTTGGCTCATTCAAATTCAAGAGCAAGTAATTGAGAAAACATTATTCATTATAATGGCATACCTAGTTGAAAAATCCTATAAAATGATTTTCCCCAGGGCAATGAACACACCTAAGCATAATCTAACAAGTAGGGTTCTTAAGCTTGATACAGTTTTATTAGAATTGAAATGTTTATTTCTAAGATGTTTTTAACATCTAGGGGCATTACCATGGTGTTTCTCACATGTACATCTTATTTAATATTCCTGTACTATGTCTGGACTCATAGACCTGCTCCATTGTTGCATTATAAACCTAGGATAGCTTTCAAAGTTAATACATTTTTATTCCACACACACATACATATACACACACAAACACACAGAATATTCCTTGTGTCTGCAAGTCATAGCTTTTGCTTGAGAAATACTCGTCCTTGTTTTCACCACCCACATCTCATCTTTCTATCTTCCCAAATGCTGCACTGTGTAGTCAGGGCTGTCTTCACCAGTGCTCACCCTTGGCTGCTGCAAGTAATGAGGTGAAGATGTGAGAATATATTATACTGCCTGATTTATGGATTGGAGGGATCTAGTGTAAATTTCACATGTACCTGAGGCTAGAGGAAATGACTAATACAGCGGAAGAAACACAGGGGTCAGAGGCAAAAGGAGGGATTAGTCACCTGGGACTAGAAACTGGAATTTCTGAAGAGAGGTAGACTCAGCCTGGGGGAAAGAGTATTGGAAACTGGTGAATTTGTTGAGTGAAATACATTTGCCTCAAGGTATACAGAAGTTCATCCAGAGGTCAAGCCGCAGAAAATCAGTGGCATTTGATCAGGCTTAACCTATCAGTAATAACTCTAAATAAATAAGTAATTAGGTAAATAAATAAATAAATAAATAAATAAATAAACCTACCAACTCTAGCCAGTGCAAGGGAAGCATTAAACACAATTATAGTCTGATGGCTCTTCTTCCTTTGGTTTCAGCAGGGCAAGCATGCAGAGACATTCAGAAACACCAGGCTGATAATTCACTCCCTTTGCAAATATTGATTGCTTTTCTGTACCACCAAATTCTTTAAGCCACGTTAATTAATAAATTACTCAGTTAATGCTGAGAGAAGATTGAGTCAGAATCTCTAGGGCACCTTTGAGGACATTTATGAGGGTGTGTGGAAGGGGAGAATAAGTGGCTTCCAACGTATGCACAGTGGCCTCCAACACATCTTCAAATCCCTGAAGCTGCTAGTGTTCACTCCTGCTTTGTATGCAAGCACAGGCACCCTGTTGCACACACGCACACACGATAGGGTGTTCAAAGACCACAGCCAAAAGAAACCCTAATTTCTCTGGCTCCCTTGTTGACTAATCCTAACCAAACCCAGTTCAACTAGACTCTAGGGTCTTTAATTTGTGATTTAAAAGGATGAAAGGGGTGCTTTTCAATTCCCTCATATATTTACAGCCAATATCCCCTACATCTTAGAAATAGCCTATTGCCTTAACAGTTTCACTGGCACATTCCAAGAGGCCATGGCCATTATGTCAGATGTTTTCCATAACTTGTCATACACTTTAAAACTCTGTTAGACAACTGGTGGTGTAGAAATGTGTGAAGCTATATATTTATGATTTCACTCATCTACAGTCTCTTCTGGACAGTCAGCTGTGTAGCCCTATTAGGACTCTGTACTTTTTTTTGCTCCCATCTCTTAAACCTCTTAAGCCTCTGTACTATGAGTATGATTAAGCACCCCTAGATGCAAATGAACATGATGGCAGAGAGCTATGGTATCATATGGCACCCAAGAACTTTCCAAAGGGTCCGGCTCTCAGCCAAATCTACGTTAAGCACCTTCCAAAAGTACATTTCAGTCTCTCCACTCTCTCTCCTTTGGCCCCAATATGGAGTAATGGAAAAAGAGCAGCTGTTCTGATGTCAATCAGAATGAGGTCCCCAGTACTTCCTACTTGTGTATTGTTGGGCAAGTTACCTAACTTCCCTTGGCTTCAATTACTTGTCTGCAAACTGTGGATGATAATAACAATCCTTATCTCCTAAGGTTGTTCGGAGGCACAAGTCAGATGACATATGTAAAGTGCTGAGCTCAGAGCCTGGTACATAGTAAGCACTTGATAAATTCTAGCTATACTAGTGACATCTGAGTCCCTTCTAAAGGTCTATAAGAAATTTCTTTTTCTTTTTTCCATCCCAAATAAGCTTTACCATAACAAACCTGTTATGGTAATTAAATGTTAAAGAAATAGGTGCTCACCACTGAGGACTCTCTAATTCTACTACTGGAAAGACATCAAATGTGCTATTTCTCTAGACCCAGGCTTCCTTGTTCTGATTTTGCAAATGTCTGTAACATCTGCTGCCAGAGTTCAGTATTTCCTGTATATCCAGTTGCCTGGCACTTGGAGCTGGGTGAGGTGTGTTGTACCTTTACACAGCTGGGTTCCCATTCTGCCACAGCTTCCAAGGGCCATTTCCCACCCATTGGGAACCAAAAGGAAAGCTGGCTTTAGAGAGCAAGCAAGGTGAAAATTTGCTGGAGTTGACAAAGTGCTTTAGTATGAGGGATTAAGGAAATGAAGTCATGGAAGTACAGCTGAAAAGGCAGGAAGGGAATGAGATGTGGGTTCAAGATGATCTAATGTCTACCTCCCTCCACTTTCAGGATGGCTCCATTTTCAAAATTATTAAACATTTTCTCAGTGCGAAATACTTCTGCCTGGGCTTTCTCCTTTTTTCTGGGGCTTCACTACTCAAGAAGAAACATATTAAATGATACTTCATGGTATTATCATACCTACTAATGATGCATCTCTCCCAGTTATCCTAAGATCCTCCTCTTTGGCAATGTGCTTGCTTTAGTAGTCAGAGGATAAATTAGTGAGAAGATGTTCTCATCTCATTGGAATAAATGAACTATGGCAAAGAAACTGAATCATAGCTAAGGTCACCATACAGCTCAGATTTTCTAAAAAGACTGTCTCAATTATAAATATTTTGTCCCCTGTTCTGCATAATAATGCTCAAAATGTATACCCCTAAAATTGTTCTGGACACTCACATACAAGAAATTGGGGAAAGATTTAGGCAAGATAAGAGGGAAGGAGAAAGATTCAACAATGAACACTAAGCAAGACAAAAGAAAATGTCATTCATGGACTTCCTTTGTTGGGAATACAGCTAATAAGGGCCATTTTCTATATGACTTTGCTAAGACCCTTAGTGTAACCAAGGATATGTGGGAAAGCTGACATCAATAACCTGACTTTGGTCCCAAATTTTCCCCTTGCTACTTTCAGTATGTAGAAGCAGACAGTAGACTAGAGACATTAGACAAAGGAGTGCCACAAGGACAGAGTGATTATTCAATGATTGCTTTTTTATTTAATTTTAGCTATATATTCAATAATGTGGCAATTTAAATATATAATATGTTCTATGCTCCATTATTCCTTTTATCTACAAAGCAAAAAACTAAAACAAGGAGTTCTGCATTCCTATGAACTCCCACCACTGTAGTTAGCTGTAGGGGACCATCAAGATAACCTAATCCAGTATTTGCCCAAGTCTAAGTGCTCATAAGAATTACCTGTGGAGATTTGTAAGCACATACACTCTGGAGCCCTAGCCCTGGGGCTTCTAACACAATAGATCCAGGGTGTGGGCCAGGAATTTATATTTTTCTAAAGCTCTAAAACAGCGGTTCTCAACCTGTAGGTTGCGACCCCTTTGGCGGTCGAACAACCCTTCCCCAGGGGTCGCCTAAGATCATCCTGCATATCAGATATTTACAATATGATTCATAACAGTAGCAATATTACAGTTATAAAGTAGCAACGAAAATAATTTTATGGTTGGGTCACAACATGAGGAACTGTATTTAAAGGGTCAGAAGGTTGAGAACCACTGCTCTAAAAGATTCTTAAAGACAGCCAGGTTTGGGAACCACTAGCCATTCCAACCCCTCACTAGCATCATCATCATCATTACTATTTTTACATCATTAACAATAATGGTACCTTGTAGCTATAGTTTTACTTTGTCATTGTGTTTCCATACCCATTATCTGTTTTTATTCTCATAACCACTATAATAGATATAGAAGTTAGGTGTTACTAGTTTTATTTTATAGATAAGTATATTACACTAGAGGCCCGGTGCACGAAAATTCTTGCACTGGGGGGAGTGGGTCCCTCAGCCCAGCCTGCACCTTCTCGCAGTCCGGGACCCCCCGGGGGATGTGCGACTGGGGAGCAGGCCTAAGCCATTAGTCAGACATCCTTAGCGCTGCTGTGGAGTGGGAGAGGCTCTCGCCACCGCCGCTGTGCTGACCAGCCATGAGCAAGCTTCTGGCTGAGTGGCGCTCCCCCTGTGGAAGCGCACTGACCACCAGGGGGCAGCTCCTGTGTTGAGCATCTGCCGCCTGGTGGCCATTGCGCGTCATAGTGACCAGTCGTTCCACCATTAGGGTCAATTTGCATATTTCCCTTTTATTATATAAGATATTCACACTCTACATAGTCCTGTAATTCACCAGGGAGTATTACCACTGCACCCAGGAGTGGTAAATGAGAGGAGTTCAATATAGCAAGACTCAAAAGGATCAAAAGAAAAGGAAGCTACAGCCTTCAGAATTGCATGTATACTTATTACAATAAGTATATTATAGTAAGTATACTATGAAATGTGCTTTATATATACATGGAATATTCCTCAATAAAAAATTGAAGTGTTGAAAGATGGTATAGTATGGATAAACCTTGTCAACAGTTTTCTAAGTGAAAGAAGCCAGTCATCAAAAAGTACATGGTGTATGATTCAATTTATATAAAATGTCCAGAACTGGAAAATCTATAGAGACATAAAGTAGATTCATTGTTGCTTAGGGCTGGAGAGAACAGGGGAAATAGTGGCAGCTAATTGCTACACAGCTTCTTTTTTAAAATATATTTTTATTGTTGATAATATTACAGATATCTCCCATTTCCCTCCCCCCTTTACATGGTTTCTTTTCAGGGTGATCAAAATTAGATTATGATGATGGTTGCACCACTTGGTAAATTTTCTAAAAATCATTGAATTGCACACATAAATGGATGAAATTTATGGTATAGAAATTGTACCTTAGCAAAGTTGTTTTTTTAAGATAAGTTATTTTAAAGAGAACATTAGTCATAGTGATAATGAGGACAAACGTATAGTCATGTAGCTAACCAGCCATAAAGTAGGATGACTCAAACAGCAATTGCTACCCTTTATTCAGTGCTACTGTGTGCCAGGCAGAATACTAAACTCTTGATAGCCATTGTCTTATTTAATTGTCAAAGCAGTTATTCCCACTTTGCAGATGAGTAACTGAGGCTCAGGACATCAAAATGGTTTCCCGGAGGTCACAAACTAGCAGTTAACAGATATTGGATTTGAAACAAATCTGAATCCAAATATTTCTGTTGCCATTATTATCTTCTGCCTCTAAGACTATAATCCAATGCCCCTGATTCTTCACCCAGGGATCTTTCCAAACATTTTCCATTTGAAATCTCATAGGAAGCCATGTATATGATTTTTTAAAGCTTTCATTCAACTTCTTCCAAAAGTTACCAAAATGAGAGACTTCTGCCCTGTATTCCTACATGGGGAGTTACAAAGGACAAAAAGGGAGGAAAAATGCCCCTTTTATTTACCCTCCTTATGGCAATGCCCCTTTTTTCCTCGCTCTTGTAGTGGAAAAACCAGTCACATTTACCAACATTATCCCAGAGATACCCCATAATTTCCTTGTCTAAGTGGGCAGTACTCAGGGGAGGGAGTGGCAGCAGTGAGGGCCACTGCAGCTTGTGGTTGTAGATGACATGAATAAATGCAACTGAGACATATTCATACTCTACATAGTCCAGTAATTCACCAGGGAGTGTTATCACTGCACCCAGGAGTGGTAAATGAGAGGAGTCCAATCTAGCAAGACTTAAAAGGATCAAAAGAAAATGAAGCTCCAGTCTTCAAAATTACATGTATTACCTATACTGAACTGAGATTCTCTCTTTCTCTCTCTCTCTCTCTCTCTCTCTCTCTCTCTCTCTCTCACACACACACACACACACACACACACACACACACACATTTTGGGGTGGGGAATCAAAGACCAACATCTTATACTTGAGTAAGACATGTTAAAAATAGATTGGGAGCAGGGGAGAATCTGTGCATGACAACTTTCTTTTATCAAACACAAGACCATTCTAATTCTTGCTTTAATGCAATGTCACTTGGCTCAGAAGTCTGTGGTAGTGTCAATTATGGTCTTTGGAAGATCACAGCTAGTGAAAATGAGGACATATTGGGTGATGTGGGATGCTTTGTGAAAATTATTACAGAATAAAACCCTCCAATTTGACTCAAATGTGTATTTTACAGTGACAAAAGACAAACATTTTATTGATTACTCTGTTGGACAGCTCCCTCAATCTAGCTTGAAGCCCTTCTTCCAGTTTGCCCTGATTCTCCTTTATTTTAAGATATACACTAGGACGGCTAATCCTTCAATGCTCAGAAAAAGCCTAGGATTAACCTCTACCTGGCCATTTAGCACGTGATCAAATAACCTAAGCCTCCTCAGCATTGTTTTCCAAGGTCAGTTAGTTATGTAGAAAAACCTTAGACTTGAACCCTAAGACCTAAATCTAGTAGCCATATGGACACTGTATCTTATAAGTAACCGGTCCTAAATTACTTGACCTTACTTTGGAAAAAGCAGCTACTTGCAAGAATGTGATCTCATACAAGGGAAGCCCTCATGCTCCTTTGTCTGGGAACACAAGAAACCTAGAAGCAGTGAAGCGGAGGCGGAGCACTCTCACACCAAGTCATTGAATGTGCTGTTTCTGCTTCCTTGTTGGCTGTTTCATAATTGATTTCCCTAGGGATCTGCCTGCTCTAAACACACCTTTGCTCAGGGAATGGAGGGAGTGAGGAGTGAAGGCTGGAGAAGGGGGAGAGGTTGTGCAGGGTCATTTTCATTATCACCACTTCTTGAGGCTGTCCTTGAAAGCATTGTGTTCTGGTTAAACTGATCACATATGTCATATAAAATTAAAAGTGGGGGTAGGAAGGCATCCTCAATATAATTTATTTGATAAAGTAAAGTAGAATGCACCTCAGGATCTATTTTCTAAATGACTACCAAAAAAATACTTTATGAATGAGCAAGTTTTGGTAAGAGCTCAGCCCCTGTTTTTGGGTGTGTACACAGACAGGTTGTCAGGATTTTCAGCAATCTAGTCATAAAATTCAATTGCAAAACCAAAATGTAGAGAGGATTTGAAAGGGTCTAGGTACAGTTAGTCAGTTCCTATTCTAGTAGGAATAGTCCTTATTAAAATACCAGGAATACCTACAGCTTTCTTTTATATTTCTCTCAATGACCTCAGCCTTAGGGACACACCCTGAAATGGGCTTTTTAGAAGCAACAGCTGAGCAATGACCACTTACCTAAAAGCATAATCCTTTGTGAACATATTCAAGAAGTTCTACTTTTAGGATGCATATTTCCAGAGTTGCAATTCACAAATAGTCTCTTAGCAGTTCAAAGGACATTTGAGTATATTTTCTTTCTGTTAACCCAATCAAACTTATTTCATCACTTAACACCCTTAATGATTTCATTGTCTGCCTTGATAGTACTACTTAGAGTTAAATATTAAGATCTAGAGTAAATGACACACAGTTCAGGTTTTCCTTTGTAAACCCTCATGGATAAGCACAATGTATTATCACCGCAATCTACACTTGAACCCCAGCAGAGACTGAAGGCCATGAAGGGTAATCGCTAATGGCTCTGTTGATGCCTATAGAATCAGAAGCCTGAGCATCAATGTGCTGTTTGGCAAATATATTTCCTAATTTCTTTCAATGAAATCCAAAAAATGTAACCATTACCAATGATGCCACCTCCCACCAAAGGCCACCACCCACTCCTCGAATTACCTTCCTCAAGTTCATCCATGCTTCCAATTTTCCTGGATCCATCAATGGTGTAAATGTAACGCACTCCCTGAGGCAGGTTGATGTTGTCAGACAGAGACCGAGTCAGGTCAGCCAGCAATGCATCAAAGCTGCGGAAACGGTCAGAGGACACAGCGTACACAATCCCCTTGAAGTAGCGGTCCCCATTGCGGTAGAAACGTACCTTCTTGGCTTTCTTCTCATTGCTCAGTGCCTGCAAGGTTCTGGTTCGGTAGAAGCTACAATGGGCGCTGTGAGTGGGGCTAGGCAGCCCATTCATCCGTGAGCCTCGCATGTTCCTGGATGCCTTATCTCTTTCGTCAAAATGTCCAAAATCAAGTTCCATATTTTAGTGGAACCTCAAATACCTGAGTATTGGAGAAAAGGGTCAGGGTGAAAAGAGGAAAGAAAAAACAGTGGGGAGAAAAAAAATCAAATATTAGCCAGATCCAAATCTGCAATCTGCTGCTTGTGAAAAGAGCTGGTTGAAAAAAGCCAGTGACCCATCTGCTGCTTGCCCCTGAGCTGCAGGAATATTGATCTTAATAGAGAAGAAGGAGGGGCTAAGGGGGTGCTGGTGGTTGTGGGGGTTGGGGTGAGAGATGGAGACAGGCACTTTGGGCACTGTTCCAAACAGAGAAGTGGGAGGGATGTTGAAATAGCTTGAAATCCTGGGACCTACTGACACTGGCTCCTATCAAATTGTAACTTCGGGCTAAATACATTAAAACCGGCATCTGTTTCCTCACACATGCTCACATGACTAACAGTTGAATATGAATCCATAGCCTAACAAAATTCCCCTTGAAGAGAATAGGAGCTAGCCAACGTTAGCATCTCTAGCTTAGGAAACAATTTTTGCATCTCAGTAAAATGACTATGAAGGGGAGTGTTTTAATTTTATTCCAAACTCTCTTTCCTATTCTAATGTGTGCATACCCTCCCCCCAGAATAAGCCTTGAGTAAGAGTCTCCTCTAAAGGGGCAGCCTCCAGGGAATAGCCAGTGTCTTTGTGCTATTCATCAAACCCTTTCCCCACCAAGCTGGTACAGCTATACAACATTCATAAGAAATAAGCTAGGGGAAAAAAGGATTAGAAAATTCAGTTACTTAACAATTTATTAGCTTTGCTTCCCTCTGGTTCCATTTAGTAACAAAATCCTCTTCTTTTTTTTTATATGCTTTATCCCCCTTCCCACCAATGCAGCCCCACCTCTTAACAGAATAATTTAATTGTTTCAAAGATTCCCAAATGCATCTCTGATCAGCATATGGGGTCTTTAGAAGCAAGCACACCTTTCATTGTTCTGTAGTTCTAACCTGACTGAAGGGGCATTTTGCCTTCACAGCAGGCAATTCACCCCAAACGTGTCTATTGCCCAGGTGTGTTACAAGAGGAGGAAAAGATGGTCATCTGTCAGATTTGCTTTCCCCTTCTGTTGAACAACAACAACAAAAAATCAAAACATGAAACCAAATTCAACAGAAGTCTCAAAAGCTAGCAAAGGTAGTGACAGCTTAGGAAACAAACTATTAACATGCATCTCACAGATGGGGATAAAAGGACTCACAAAGCAAGCAGAGCTCAGCTGCTACACACTGCCACATTGAGATATTTGCAAGGGACCAGAAGGATATGAGATAAAGGAGGACTGCTGCCTAGTAGGTTTTCCAGGCTCAGTCCCCTTTTTCTTCCAGTGTCACCATGACCTGTGCTGAGCTCAGCATTGTCTGTCAGACAACCTGCAGTGGTAGAGACCCCACCTCCTCAAGACAAGTAGCAAGCATTTCCCCAGGCGTGCTAGCAATGCTTGGCTCTAGTGTCAGGGTGGTATTATTCTAAATCGACATCACAGTGAAAACAAAGGAACATCAAACTCACTTTTTCAAAGGAAAATTCCAGGTAGAGGCTTAGGAAACAAATCCAAGAATAAGGGAGGAGGCAAAAAGAGACAGAGCGAGAGAGACAGAGGGGTGGAGAAAAAGAGAGAGAAAGAGAGAACTTTGCCTTGTGCTTTTCCCGTTTGACATCTGTTACATTCTTCCTGAAAATAACTTGAAAGCCCCACTCACCGGTTTTCTGCTGGTTGGGTGGAGATGCTGAGAGAAAGAAAACCAATCTCTCTGTGCCTTTGTTGTCTGAGCTCCAAGCAAGAAATTCCTGCCAGGGTGGATAGATGCCTTCTAGGTCCTAGTGCCTTGCCCAGCATCTCCCCTATACTCAGGCTTAGTGAATCCCCCAACCTCCTATGATTAATTGCATGTTTTTTTTTCAATTTTCAGCCTGCATTAACAACTAGAAAGGTTTCATTTATAACCAACAGGAAATTGCAGGGTAGCAAAAAGATTGGACAGGCAAGTTTAGAATGCTCTAATGAGCAATATGCTAGCCTTTTCTTTTAACGAATTGGTAATTTCACTTGACCAAAATCTTGACTTAATCTGCCTGGGGGGCTGGACACAGTCAAAGCAGGCTTCTTAGAAATTGTCAATATCTTCCTTTCACCTTCTTGAGAGAAAACAATTAAATCGGCAAGTTATTTAAGGAATTTTAGTCTGTACATCCAACAACTGGGTATTTTTTTAAATGAGGACAATGGAACAGACTAAGAGGGAGTAGGAAACAGACAAGACAAGGGGAAAGAGTTCCAGATTTCATAGAGGATAGAGTTGAAAAAGGACCCCAAAGACCTTTTAGCTTTGGTTAATGGGATCTGCGAAATTTACCTTTGAGAGTTTGAAACTTAAAATCCAACCCAGAGACCTTTCTATGTGAACGGAGTCTGATGGCTACAAGATAAATATTAACAGCTTTCTCCTCGAATGTCCTATTTGTTACTAATTGGCTTATTTATATCAGATATATTATAAAGAGCAAGGAAGCGTCCAAATTGAATTTATTAAATCTAGCCAAACTGTAAGATGAAAGAAGAGAAAGATGAGAGACTAAAGTGGGGTGGGCTACCATTTTCACAACTGAGGTTTCATGTATTAATATTTAACAGACTTGAACTATCATGGTTCCATTTTTACTTGGCTTCCAGGAAGCTCAGAGACATTAGTATGCTCAGTAATTATCTTATATCTAATTCCAAGTATAAGTAACCCTTTTCACACACACACACACACACACACCAGGAGTTTTTCTCAAATATATATACATATATATATATGGCTATTGAGGGTTTACAGTTAAGCACTTTATGTGTATGTGTTTTACTGTAAGCTGCCTCAAAGTTGGATAAAAATATGATTATATGATTTTTCTTCTCTGGAAGGTGTTGGCTTAGCAAAGCCTAAATTATCTATGTTAGCTGGGTGGTCAGCCTCAAGTGCACAACCAGTATAGCCAAGTCCCCCTTGCTGCTGCACTCCTGGTTTCTAAATAAGTTCTTGAGGGAACTGCATGTGTCTTTTTCATTTGTTTCTGCCTTAAATTGTAGTCACCTCTTGAAAAACCAGGGTTATTCAGGTCAGGTGCACAGAAATATCAAGGAATGGGAGTAGAGAAATATGGAAATTCCAATCAATGATTGCAACATCCTGTCCAGCAAGGCCAATATCTTAATTTTTTTCTTGCATCATAAGCATTCTGTAAATATAAGCAATTCATTTTGCATCAAAAGAAAAAAATAATTTTATTTCCAGTGAGGATATAAGAATAGATAGATTTTTAAAACTTAAAAAAGGGGAATTTAGAGTAGATATTAGAGAAAATGTCCTCATGGTATAAGATTTGCCACACTACAGTGGAAGCTGCAAACTGTTTCTAAAAGACAATCTAGAATAGATGGCTTTGTTTGTTTTACACATACCAGAGAGCAGGGGGGTGAACAAAATCAGTTTCCAAGTGTGAGGTATGTGGATGTTAAGGTGTTCTTTGTTGTCTGAGTTCCAAGGAAAAAGGTTCTGTGTTCAAAAGCCTTTCAAAGTTGATGTGCTACACAAAATTAGGTTTTTTTATCATGAAATTTCTCAGGGCCTTTAAGATTCTTAAAATATGACACAAGTCTCCAAAAAGACAACTTAGTATAAAGAGTTTACCAGGCTTTTTTTAAAGCTCAGAACCCACCCACCTTTAGCCCCAAGTATCTTATGGACTAATGTTCTGTGGAAAAAACTTTTGTAAAACCTGGACTAGATCATCTTGATACTGGGGAAGGGCATGTAATAAGAAGAGAGCCATAGTGCTTAACAATTAATCACCTTACTAACTACTGATGAGAAGTTTTCTTACAGATCTTGGGAAACTGGAGGATGAAACAAGCCTTTAAAAAGATAAGATGCCTCAATGGGTCCATTACTCAGAAAATAAATATATTTTGAGAACAGACCAAGGATAGGACACACTTTGATTGCTGTACCTGAACCCTGACCCCCTACAGGAGTTTTTCTCAGGAATGCTGACCATTCTCTGGTCCCAGGAACAGGCTGAGCTGTTTGTAACATCATAGAAGATTAACCACCTTGTTATTGAGCTCCTGAAAGCCGGACTGCAGACCGTACTCTCCCCCTTCCCTGTTACAGTATCCTTGCAGCTAATTTTCTACTTCATGTGCGTATATAATCAGCCAACTTGTGAGGGGGATCAGAGCAGACTTTCCAGGGTGACTGACTGCTTTCCCCATACTGCTGGCATCATTGGAATAAATGCTCATATATGATTCAACCCCATCTCTGGTTAATTTGGCTTAAGTAGTGACTGGCGGCCTCAGACCCATTGTGCCTGGTTTAAATCTCACAAACATATATTTTTCTCAAAGAACTCTCATCTACTCACTAAGACATTTTCTCTCCCATCTTTAGAGAAGGATCACTGGCAGAAGAGAGGTATCAGGCATGAGTTCAGGGGGAAAGTACTTCTTTGTGTATGGAAGTCAACGTTGATGATCAAGGAAACATTGTGGTCAAGGGTTCAATGATTAAAGGAAAAGTATAAAAACTCCACTGTGAGAAATGCAGCAGTAAGACTTTTTGAGTACTTACCATGTGACCAGTACCACAGACAAGATGCACAGTAGGAGACATCAGTCACTGCTCCTGAGGGGCTTGAATATTCATTGAGGAAACAGGACAAGAATATGAATCTTTATAAAATCATGAAGAAGGAATTAGATCTTTCTTGATATGCTGTGGTCTGGGTTACTCAAACTCAGTTTAAAGATCAGGGTCAGGACATAAGACCATCCATCATATGGACATACACATACACACAGAGAGAGAATCATTAGTTTATATTACCCATGAAAAAAAAAAAGAATAGGATCTGGGGTGGGGTAGATAAACAAGAAATAAGGTTGGAAATATATCCAAATTATTTATGGTGATCATAAAACTATAAAGTACATAGGAAAAAGTCCAACAAATATCTGTAGGAACTTTATTGAGAAAATAAAAATTATTGAGAAACATAACAGAAGCTGTAAATAAATGTAGAGCCAGAACATACTCATGGATGGCAAGATGCAATATTGTAAAGATATCATCCCGAGTAATGTATATAAAGAAATTCTAATTAAAAACCCCAACATAAATTGAAGGACATCTGTAATACTGTCAAATTTTTTTAAAAAAGGAGAAATTTTGTGAAAGTCACAAATATTAGTTATTGTGAAACATCTGTTATTATGATTATTAAATTAGTAAATATATGTAATATTTTACTTATTTA